ATCAATTATGTAGTATGACCAAACAACCAACTAAAATTTTTAATTTATCCATTTTAAGATTTTATTTCACATACGTGATCCTTAAAATACACCGTATTTACTTTAATGTTTTAAACTAAAAATCATGGTATATACTTTATACATGACAAAATTATATTACGTATATTATTTATATGTATGCAATGTACGTGTGCTTTAAATTTTCTAAATTTATGTATAGATGTATACCAATCACTTTAAAATAGGTTGAAAACTAATTTAAGTAAAATTAGCGACATTTTTTTTATATTTTAGGTGGATACCGTTACCTCACTCCATATTCCGTATTGTATATAATGCAATTATAATTTGCATTGTAGTGACAAATCTGACAATGACCAAGGGAAGAAAGAATACAATTGCAGATTTGCTGATTTTTTTTTTTTTTTTTTTTTTTAAATTTTTTTTTATTATGTTAATTAATTTCGTTAAAAAAAAATTATGTTAATTAATTAAATTAAACTAAGGAGAACAAAACTAAAGAAGACAAAGTGACTGACACTATGGATAACATATAAATAGGACAAGAGTATTGACTTTTATATAACCCTACATTTCTTGTAGTCAATACTAGTAGTTGGCTATTTAATATACGGAATTACTCCGTATTATATACTACGTGTAAAGTTTACGTATATACCCGTACAAAAGGATAATAAAACATGTTGAAGTGTTCAACATAAGGCTGGACTCCTATTCCCGGTGATTTGATTGGGGTCTCCTAGTGGTCTCCTTCATTCCGTACCTTGTTAACTACTCCGTAATTTTTTTTTTTTTTTTTTTTTTTTTTTTTTTTTTTTTTTAACAATAGCTACTCCGTAATACATAGTATTAAAAATGTAGGGTTTTTTGTCAGAAATTACCTAATAAAACATAAATATTGTAAAAAACTACCTAATAAAAAAAATATTGTAAGAAACTACCTTTGACTGAACTTCCACCATTAACCTAATTTTATGGCAGTGATCCACCTTAAAACACCCTCGAAACCACCACGAGGTTGATTTTCAAGGTGGTAAGGTTATTTTCGGGGTGGTTAGAGGATATTCCGAGTTGGTGAGGGTAGTTTCATGATTTGGGATGTTGTTTTTTGGGGTTAGAGGTGGTGGTTTTGGGGTTGGAGGGTGGTTTCGGCGTGGTAGAGGCAATTTCAAGTAGATTGTGTTGGTTTTGGGGTGAAAGCGGTGGTTTTGGGTGTGTTTTGAGGTGGGTCAATGGTGGATTTCAGGGGTAGCATTTTGCAACATTTTACATTTTGTTAGGTAGTTTCTTACAACATTTTACCTTTTATTAATTAGTTTTTTACTAATTTTTTTTATTAGGTAGTTTCTCACAAAATCAGGGCTTTATTAGGTAGTTTGTGACAAAAAATCTAAAAATGTATTCTATACTATATTGTACGAGTAGCAATTTTTTAAAAAATATTTTAAAAAATAAAATGGGATGAATGCTCTAGCCAATTAAGCTCTCATACACGATCAACAATCACATATTCTTGGAAAAATACATACCTTAATTACTTTATTAACTACTTTTTTTTTTTTTTTTTTTGTTGAAGGAGAGGGGAAAGCCCCAAGAAAGCAACAAAACACACAAACTAAACGAAAACAAAGAAAAAGAAAGAAAAGCAAACTACAAACAAATAGGAAAGAAACCCAAGAAAAAGAAACTAAGTCTCAGGCACCATCCTCGACCAAGTCATCCCACCAAGTTCCTCCAATAAAACCGCATGAAGGTCCTTAGGGACCGCTTCAAACATGGTAAACTTCTCCGTCGCCTTCACTCCATAGTTAGTTAGCCAGTCCGCAGCCGGATTAGCCTCCATATAACAGTGATTATTAATGGTCACCTCCCAATCACGAATTGAGATGAGAGCCTTGCAACGACGAATGATGTGAATATATGGAGAGTTGGTAGGAGTTTCCTCAACCAACAAACGAACAACTACCTCTAAGTCCACTGAAAGTTGGACCTTTCCATGGCCTCCATCCCAAGCCACACTCAACCCCTTCAAAACAGCAATTAACTCTGCTTTAGTACATGTGTAGCAGCCGCAATTCACAGCAAAGAGTTCAAAGAGTTCTCCCTTGTGCCCTCGTATAATCCCACCTGCACCAGCTGCTCCTAGGTTGCCCTTTGAGGCACCATCAGTGTTGAGGCTTACCCACCCTTCCCTTGGGAATCTCCACCTGATGAGTCTTTCAACTCGCACTCTCTTTTCAGTCCCAGTAAAAAGCAAACCTCTATCCATAGCCCTTTTAATTTCACCAACTCGAGCCAAAATATAGCTAACATGATCAAATGGAATACTAGGCTCATCTTGAAAAGTTCTGGCATTACGCCATTTCCAAAGCCACCAACATCTCACAAAAAATATTTTAGGCCATTCACTCCCCATGTCAGCCTTATAAGCACTTAGATTTAATAGCACGCATCCACTGTTCTAAAGTCAGGGCATCTCGCATATTTTCTGCTTTCACTCCCAACTTGCTCCATAACATCTTCGCAGTAGGACAAAATCGAAGTATATGATAAACATTCTCCTCACCTTCTCCACAAGTCATACATCTAGGATCATCTGTCAAGGTGCGTATAAATCTAGCAACATTAGTCATCAATCGATCTTGTAAGGCCATCCAAAGAAAAAACTTGATTTTTTGAGGTAACGGGAGCTTCCATATTTCTGCCCAGCCCTCTTTATCATTATCTATTACCCCATCCAATTCCCTCACAATATTCAAGGCTGAACTCATAGTGAAGCCACCTGAAGGAGAACCATTCCACGAAACTGCATCTATGGCCTCATCATCCTCTTTTAATTCTTACGAAGCTATCTCTTGGAGAACTGAATTAGGAAGATAGTCTGCAAACTCTTTAAGCTTCCAACCCAAATTCTTGTCCCAATAATCACGCACAGTATTGTCTTGGGCCTCAATTAGGGGTTCAATAGCAGCATAATTCAAAAGAGGATCCTTGCAAGCCCATCTATGATGCCAGAAAAATGTACGGTTCCCATTCCCCACATCGAACCACATCGATACTACTCATTATTCCACGCCAAGCATTCGAGGAATTTGCCTTCTCTTTAAACATGTCTATATCGCACCTATTATCATAATAGTTGGCTCTCAAAATTCGAGACCACAATGCATTAGGCTCTACCAACAATCGCCACCCTAACTTAGCTAGAAAGGCCTTGTTAGATTGCCTTATACTACGCAAACCTAAACCATCAGCTTGTTTAGGCTTTGTGATAGTATCCCAAGCCACTAAATGTACCTTGCGGCTTCCCTCATTTTCTTCTCGCTTTTCAGTCAATATCATCGCAAGTCGATCTCGGCAACTTGGTGGATTGCATTGTATAAAAGGGAATCGCATTTAGAGTTGACTGAATAAGAGTCATTCGGCCAGCCATAGAAAGGGTTCTAGTCTTCCACCCAGCTAGTTTTCCATTAATACGGTCAACTATATATTGATAATCTCTCTTTGAGGTCCTACCACTAATTGTAGGGACCCCAAGATACTTACCAAAGTCTTCAATTTCTGCCATGCTGAGGGTTCTGCTAATGGCTTCACGCACTTCCAGGTTAGTATTTTGAGAGAAGTAAACTCTGGATTTCTCAATACTAACCTTACTTCCTGAGGCCTTGCAGAATTGGTTTAAACAATGCATCATAACTTCTGCTTGTTCAACTGAAGCATGCCCGAATAAAATCAAGTCGTTCGCAAACGCAAGATTAGAAATCAAGGATCCGTTTCTTCTAGCATGTATTGGAATCCGCGCCCCAAGTTTCACTTCTCTGTCAATCAAGTGAGCCAAACGCTCCATATAAATCACATATAAGTACGGTGAAAGGGGATCACCTTGACGAATTTCATGAGTTGGCTTGAATGAGTCCGTTGGTTCACCATTCCACAATATTGGCAAATTTTTCGACGAGATACACTTCATGACTACTTCAACAATATGGTGAGGGAGGCGAAGTTCAACCAGTGACTCTCTTATAACTGACCAACGAAGACGATCATACGCCTTCTCAAAATCAATCTTAATTGCCATGAGTCCACCTTTTCCTTGCTTATTGCGCATCATATGTAACATCTCCTGAAATATTATCACATTATCAGTTATTTGCCTTTCAGGAACAAAGGAGCATTAGGTTGGTGATATAAGTTTCGATAAAACTGGTTTTAAGCGATTCACAATCACTTTCGTAACCAATTTATAGACAATGTTACACAATCCAATAGGTCGGAATTGATTTGTTTTTTGAGGGACATCCACTTTTGGTATCAGCACCAAGTATGCATCATTAAAGCCAATCGAGAAGTCCTTCCCCTCCAAAATATCTCGAACCAAATTCACCACATTCGGCTTAACTAGACTCCAAAAAGTCTTGTAAAAAATTGGCTAGAAGCCATCAGGCCCCGGCGCCTTGAAAGATTTCATGCTTTTGAGGGTAGCCACTACTTCACACGGGCTAAAGGCTCTTGTGACTCGCTCAAAATCATCTTTGTCCATCTCTGGGAAATAATCCCATAAAAGATGCACTCTTTCGCCAGGGGTATTCTCCTCTTGAAATAATTTTTCCCAATAGTCGACAACTAGCTTTTTGACCGCATCATCTTCCAAAACCCAATTGACATCTCTGTCTTGCAACATTTCAATTCTATTCCTCCTTCGCCTAATAACTGTGGCAATGTGAAAATAACGAGTGCTACAGTCCCCATCACAAATAGCCTCCATTTACGATTTTTGAAACCACAACATCTCTTCATCATTGAGAACCTCATCCAGCTCCTTCCTCAATTTAGCTTCGAGTTTAACCAGATGTCGTTGCCTACCCTTAAAAGCTCACCACTTAGGCGCGCCCAAAGCTCAGACTTTTTCCTAAAAATGTTGTAAAACTCCTTCTTGATCCAACAACTCAATTATTCTGCAAAATTCTCTAAAAAAGGGATTAACGAGGCATTGCTATCCCAATTCCTATGAACAAAGTCTGAGAATTTTTTATGATTGACGTAGCTTGGAACCGGAAGGGTTTAATAGCCATTGGAAGAGGCGCAAACCCTGTAGTACTAACACGTATCGGGCAATGATCTGATTGCGACTTAGGGAGATTTCGAACGGTAGCTTCATCGAACTTCATTCTCCTGGCTTCATTTGCAAATGCTCTATCCAGCCTAGCCGATTTGAAAGTCTCGGGAGAATTCCCTCTAATCCAAGTATGCTCAGGCCCCGAGCAACCCAAATCAATCAATTCGTTATTCTCAATCAAGTTAGAGAAATCTCGGCATCTTCTTTGCATTTTAGAGCCACCAACACCATTCCTCTCATCCATAGTCATCATTTCATTGAAGTCGCCCCCTAAAATCCATGGACTAGAGTAACTATTTTTAATTTTTTCCAATTCATCCCACAATTCTTTTCGGAGAATGCTATCAGGGCTAGCATATATGGCTGAGAAAAGCCATGGATCATCTCCAAACTTTGCAATTTGGACCGTAAGATGCTGAGAATGATCACCAAATGGAGTGACAGTCACCTTGTCAGTGCGCCAAAATAGCCAAATACCACCTTGAAAACCCTGTGCTTCAACTCTCAATTGCCCCGAAAAACCTATCTTGTTACAAATTTGAGTAGCCTACTCTCCACTCATATGTGTCTCAACTAGAACCATAACAGTAGGATCATTAATCCTAACCATTTCACGAATAATCGTTAATTTATTACCCACTCCCTAAACATTCCATATTATTATCTTAATAGACATATTAAATTCTGAAAAACTTGGGTAACTATCAAACACGTTAACAGGAATGTTAAGCAGCATGCTTAGAAACACCTCTCTGAGTGCTTTCATGGACCTATTCGTCTCGAATGGGAGTTGAAACAATACCATAATTTCTGGAACTATGTGCTGGAGGAAGAAACGAGTTCATGACGAGATTGATTTTGTTTGCCAGGGGATGCACCTTGATTGATGTCGATACCTCCGTCTGGTAATCGATGAAGGTCTTGTATTCTGGAGGAACTCGAGTTTCTAAAGTGATTGGCACTCGAAGCGGATTCATTGTGCTTACCAAATTCTCCTAAATCACCCTCAATCTCAGTACTCCGTTTCCCTAGAGCCAAAGGGGTATGTGAGGCAATTTCAAACAAATTTTCCTTACCACTACCACTCACCCACTTAGAAATCGAAAGTGAAGATTTTTGTTCTCCTTTTTTTCCCAGTGGCTTAGAAGGCTTGAGAGAATTATTATGGCGGTGTAAAGGTATCCTCAAATCTTCTTTAGAAGATTTTTCCAATCTTTTTTTTTTGAATTATTATCCTTTACTAAAGAAATATCTTTTTCCAACTCAATCAAATCTCTAACGGAATCCTTTGTATTGCCTAAATGAACAAAGTTTTCTTCCATGTTCAATCCCTTTCCAAACTAGGAGTCTCCAACTTCACAGTAGAATAATTAGTTTCCATATTTTCATCACCATCTCCATCTCGAACATTGCTTCTAGGAGAATCACTAGCACCGAGGTCCACTGTACCATGCACCACTTCCTTAACATTGTGAGCAGACTTATCTTCAATAGCAGCTGTAGCATTACGCGCTTCTTGAGGTTCATCTGAGACCTCCTCTATCTCCAAAGCATCATACCTAGACCCTATTGACCTCCTGCCCTATTGCTTGAGTCATGAGCTTTCGAACCATCCTTTCGAACCTTCCATACTTGTGTAATCTGCTTCATAGGAGCATTATCTTGAACTTGTGCTACTTGCTCAGTTGCAACTTTGTTTTGACCCTGAACCTTTTGCCTTGGTGCATTCTTCCTAGTATTCCTCTAAACTAGCATCCACGCACCATATTTATCTTGTACCTCCGGCTTCTCCTTGTTTATTAGACTTCGATAAAAATGCCTCGACCATTGCTAATCTTTTTAGGTTCCTTTTGCTGGACATTCTTTGGATCATGAAACACCCCACAACCTTCCTTTTTATGTCCCAGTCTTCCACACTTAAAGCAAATCATACGCAAACCCTCATACTGGATTTTCCAAACCAGTCCATCCAGACGAAATTTAGATAGTAATGGCTTGGTCAAATCAACCTCGATGCATAATCGCACATATTGTCCTTGATCCATTGATTCTGTATTTTTATTAATTTTGATAACTTTGCCAATTTTCGAGCCAATCTTGAAGAGAAATGCCTTGTCAAAATATTCAACAGATAATTGAGGAATTCTCACCCATGCCGTAAGAGTTTTGATAGGCTCTTCATCCGAGACGAAGTTTGGTATCCATTTTTGGATGGTCAAGTAGCTATCGCTAATCATCCATGGTTCATTTTTCAGCACATATTCATAATCATCTTGACTACTAAAGCGCACTACATAAAATGCATGCCTTACATCAGTCAAGGCTATTTCTCCTTTAAGGCTCCATTTCGATTTTAGCCGCCCCGTTAGCATTTCATACCCTAATTTCCTATCAAAAAGCTTGATAATTAGAGCATTCAACCATGGACTTTGAAGTCTCCTTTTCTCCTCTTTCGTGAGAAGAATCGTAGGGGCACCCCTCTTCATCTTCAGATTCTGAATGAGGAACATCATCATCAGAGACATCGTCTTCTAATTCCATATCTCCAAAAAGAGGATTATGGCGATGATTACCACCGCTTGCAGCCTGGCTATATGAAATTCCATTAGGGTTTACAGCCCTAACGTTAGGAGTTTCTTTCACAAAAGAATCCATTTCCATACTATCATCATTCTCTACTATAGTTCTAGGGTTGGTGTTAATCACACCATCGAAGCCCCTTTTGCATTTTTTATTAGACCTCTGCAGAAGGTCATTTTCCTCACTCGTTAAGCTTTTCTCTCTATCACTCGCCATTTCTCTATATTAATGAAAAATATTAATTAATTTTACTAATTTGCGCGTAATGTTGTCATTTATTTTCTTTTCATGTGTACTACTTCCTCTGTTTCACAATTATTGCAACACTATGTTTAGTACTTATACCATTCCTTTTCTTTCTTCGGATCTATATATATGTATCCAACTCCAATGGTTTCATTATAAGTACTTGCTTGTAGTATAAATAAAATGTCTAGTTACATGCTTACCATTTGGGAACAAAAAAATGACCAACATACAAGCTATTGTAGTCCAAACAAGCTACGTTGCTTGATTAGATTAGAAACAACTAAACTTCACTCATATTGTGACATGCGTACAACTATGAATTATATATATATATATTTTATTTGCAACCTACAAGGCCCTTGTAACTCACCATTGGAACTTTTTGTAGCCAAAAAGTGTTGTAGCTTAAAAATTGATGTGGCAAAACAAGCTACAAGACCCTTGTAGATTACCATTGGAGATGCTCTAAGTGGGATACTTAAAGTAATACTACCTCATTTTCATATTATTTGCAACTTTTGGAATATTTTATATATTACAAATAATACCCCAAAATTGCAAATAATATAAAACAAAAGGTAGTATAAAGAGCAAATCCAATGGTTGTAGCTAGGGACTTGCTTGCAATTTTAAATATTTAATACTTGACCATTGGAGCTAGAAATTGAAATTAGCTTGGTCCAGCAAAATAGTCTTGTAAAGGTAATTTACTTGGAAAAAAAAAACTCAAAATAGAATAAATAAAATAAAATATAAAAAATTTAATTAAGGAATTAGGATTCATTTTAATAGTAAGTTTATATTTAGCCATTGAAGCTCAAACTAGCTAAAATGACAAGTAACTTAACAACTTATATAGCATGACAAACTAATTTGACAATTAGCTTGCCATTGAAATTCGCCACTTTATTTTTTAAGGAAAATGACATGCGCTCTTTATAATGCAAGTAATGCATTTAAGAAGCTTAAAATGACAAATTATATTAAGGAAATTTTGATTTTTAACACCACAAAAAAACGCGAAAATGGTTGTTAACACTCCAAAAATAAAAAATTATTTTAACACCACCAAAAATTTAAAAAATTTGATGTTACCACCACTTAACAGATTCTTGGATGGAATTCGTTAGTAGGGCCCACGATGCCTATGCGTCAGCATATTATTAGCTAAAAATAAAAATAAAAATAAAAATAATTTTTTTTAAAAAAAAAAAGCCCACCCACCCCATCACCACCACCAACGGCACCCTTTTCCCCAACCAACCCGCGCAACCCCCCGCCCCGATCCTACCTCTGGCGCACTGCCTCCCCAGATCGACCACTGGAAACCCCCTTTCCTTTCTCGCAGCCGTAAACCGACCGACAATCTTTAAACCCACCCAAAATGGTTGGCGTTCCCTAAAAAGCGACCACCAAATTGGCAAGTAATGGCCAAAATTGTCCACTCAGCCCCAAACCCGGCCGTTACTGACTGATTTCATGGCCGTTTTTTGAGTGGATTGTAACACCCCCAAATCTCCCTCTACTAGTATAATATGTATAATTATACTATAGAAATAGATTTAGGCATATTACCGTCGCGTGATTACGCTAGGCTACTCAACTACTAACTTAATTCCAAAACTTTGTAGCGAAACTCAAACTCTTTTATTAATGTTTATAAAATAGTAAACATTGTTATGAGTACTCAAAATAAAACAAAAACCAACATTCCCTAATCTAGGTGAAGCAAATCTCGGAACTCTCATATGCTCGTTCATGACTTCACCTGAAATAGTCAACACTACTTACCATTAAGGTAAACAGGGTGAACCAAAACAAATAGGAAATACGGATTAGCAAAACATGCTAAGTATATTAAGTGAAAGATAAGTAAACTCAATTTATTAGCAAACATGCTTTTAAAACCAATTCCAATATTATTTAATAATTCTAAACTCATAACTCAAACCAATTATCAAGATTTTCAAAACAATTTCAATAACTAAATAATTCAATAATAGTGATTAATAAATCAATTCCTCTTTTTAAAACCCAATTCATCTCCTAAATGTGCACACCCCCAAAGTTAGTATCTTTATATTGAAAGACTATTCTTGAGGAAAGACTCGATCATACAAAGTCCAAAGTCTTATCTACCAAATTCGCATAGTTGGATTAATATAATCATGATTGTAAAGCTTTAATAATAATTCAATAATTCCTCTTTAACTCATGAATCAATAACTCAATCCTTTAAAGTAATTTATCTCAAAACACCTTTTTATTCAATTCAATCATGCTTTAAAAACCAAATTTTTAAACATGATAATTAATTCAAACCATTCAAACCATGATATTAAAAATTCATTCTCAAACATATTTATTTTAAATATGAATTCTCAAGATTATTTCATAAATCATAATATTCAATTTAATTCAAAACAATTAAAAACAAGCTATTCAATTCAATCATTCTCAAAAGTATCTAGCCACCTAAACGTACCTTGATCCTTGCTTAAGAAAAACACAAAGAACCTTAAGCATGTACTCTTGTCAAAGACACCCTACAATTAAATATAACCTCAATCAATATAAGATCATCAAATAATCACAACAATTAAAATAAAAATCCCAACCCTATGTACATGAACCTCATAAAAATTCTTTTTATAAACTTGAATAATAATCTGATTTTATTTAAGTTAAAACATCAATAAAACCACAATAATAATAATAATAATAATAATAATAATAATAATAATAATAATAATAATAATAATAATAATAATAATAATAATAATAATAGAATTAATTAAGAGAGAAGAAAAGAAAGAAAATCGAAAGAAGGAGAAGGAAGAAGGACACAACAGGGATAGCAGCACGCCGACAGGTAGTTGAAGGTGGTGGCTGGCGTCGGTGGCTAGCCGAAGGTGGTGGCATCCGGTGGCTGTGGTAGTGGTGGTGCAAGAAAAATCGAGAAAAAGAGAGGAGAGTGCCGTGAGATTAAGAGAGAAAAAAGAGAGTTTTGGTGTGAGTTTTTGGCTTTGATGCATGGGGTATTTATAGGCTTGAGCATGCAAGAATTAAGCTAAGAATTATAGAAAGAATTATGGTAATTAGGTTTAAGGAATTACTTGAAAAAGAGAGTTTCGGAAAATTTAATTAT